AAAACATGTATCTATGATTAAACATAATATATTTGCTTCTGATTTGAATGTTAAAATTCTGAAATGCTGGCGGTTTTTCAGGCTTTACTTCAGGTTGACAAACAGAGTTATGATCGTTTAATGGCAGCTGAAGGAATTTTTGTGGGTTATACCTACTGTAACGTCTTTGATGCTTTTGGGGTTAATCGATGTTACAAAAATGCAGTACCTTTGACCATTCGCCGCGTACTTGCAAAGAGAAAATGTTTTGCCCTTAGTGCAGCTCAGACCACGAGATACAATATTATGAAGCTACTGACAAAGTTTTTTGCCGGGTTTAAAATTTGTAGTACCAGCAAAAAGTTTGGGTGTATTGAATTCGTTTGGGTTGTCTGTCGTTTTTCCTCTTTTTGTCTCACTTTGGTGCGTATATATCGCCCTCCAAAGAGCGTGCTCACGAATGGCTTAATTACATCGAAGAAATAAAGGCGCTTTCTAATCAAGTTATATGCGGCGACTTCAATTTTCCCAATATTTCTTGGCAAAATACTTATTTCAATCACTGATGGTGTAAATAACGCGGACACATTTATTAACTTGCTTATAGAGACCGACTTAAAGCAACTTGTGTCCTTCCCTATTCGCTTTAGGGCAAATCAAAATCCATCGTTGGTTGACCTAATTCTAACTAATGACCCAAATCTGTTGATTCCACTAATTTCGGCTCCACCAATAAGAATATCTGACCAGTGTGTAATCGAGACAACCATCCAATATCATCTTTCCAGTCTTAAGAAGCATGGGATAAGAACTCGTTTAAAAACCGACTTTAGTAAACTGCAATTTGATCTTATGTCCACTAATTGGGATAAAGTTTACAATAGTGTTTCCTGTGACGAAACCTGTTCTCTTTTCTCTGTCAGACTCGAAGAATTGACGAAGAAGAATACTGTTGTCTGCCGTACCAAATATAACGTAAGAAAATCCTGAATTGCTAGTCACTTTTTTAAAAAGGTCTAAAAATTGTGGAACAAATTTAAAGTTACGAGCTTGCAGGCTCATTTTGAACAACACTGGAGATTTTCAAACAAGTTAAAGAGTGATCTTAAAGAAGCTAGAATGAAGTACGAAAAAACGTTCCAAAAATGGTTCGCAAGCTATGTATAAACCCGCCCCATTTTGGAGTATGCGAGTGTCATTTGGTCTCCACCATTTAAAAAAAGATATACCTACTTTTAATCGAGAGAGTGCAGGCAGTTTTATTAAAAAAAATGTTTCATTATAAAAACTTATCTTACAAAAACAGACTTTATACCGTGGGTATTTGGTCCTATGAAAAGCGTTGACTTCTCAACGATTTACTCTGCACCTATAATATTCTCACAAATCTTGTTTACCGAGTCATCCATACAAAATATATCATTAAAAGTTTTTTGACGAACAGGATCTTCAATGTACGGTAGTGTTTAAACAAAGAATTTACATTATGTCGAAAATCTGTCGTCGGAATAAATATCTGCATGATTGTGTCTTACTCTAGTGAGATAGATGTAACTCTCTAGCATCTATTTATGCAGAAATGTTTATTGCTTTATTCGGTTTTGTTTTTTTTCTTTTATTCTTTTTGAAACATCGGAACAGTGTGGAGCTTAATAGGTTGTATAACCTCAGCTCCGAATTGAATAATAATAATATTTATTATTATTACTTTCTCCTAGTTTGAAATTGGACATTAATTTTTTTCTATTTGTTGACGATCGTAGTTTAAAGTCAAGTTCTAAATTATTCGTGGGTTTCAAAATTTTGGGGGGTTGTTTGAGTTATCGCACAATACTCCTGAATAATGTTAAATTCGTTCTTCTTCTGATTTATACCTGAAAGTTAAGTTCTGGGTTTTTTTAATAATTAATTTCCGAGGTAGTGGATTTCCAGAAAAGCTACTGTAGAATGGTCAGTCAGATTACCAGATCTCATTACACTTGACTTTTTTTTGGATACCTTAAGAGTCCCCAGTCGTCGCCCGCAAAATCGGTTCCAGTGAGAAGAATTATTTTTTGTAACTATATAAGTACCGACCCATCGTAGGTACCGACCCAAAAACACGAGAGATTATGGTCACTGTAGGGAGTCCGTCATAAAATGCAAATCGGTAAACAACACCAGATAAGCTTATTTATTTTCAAATGAAGGGGACAGGGAAATAACCATCGAAATCCATTTGTATGTATTTGGAAAGAAATTGAGTTGAAAGCTTAAAATGTTGCGGAAAATAGATTGAGAAACCCACAAGGTTCAGTCTAACACAACTTTTTATTTTCTAATGTTTTAAAAATAAACTGTTTATGTTCAAATATAACAGCAAAAAAAATTGGTGGAAAGTTGTTTCGACCGAACTTCCCTCTCACCTAAAATACAATGAAACATATCCAGCATTTTCGAGTTAAATTTTTACTTTAGGTACACAATTTTGTGATGAAATCATCAACATTTTGCTAGGATGCGTAAATCAATGTGGATTAGACTAAAAATAACAGTATTCCCAAAATTTCTGGGAAAATGGAGTGAGTCGTTCCTGATTTAATCAATAGAATAAATTGACTCATTCATTAATTTTTTTGAGCCACCTAGCAAATGTAAAAAATATGAATGCAATGATAAATTACAAGTAAAAACTCATCATATTGTGCACATTTTTAGTAGAATTTATTCGGCAAAATTTTAGATGACGTTATCAATTTTTTAGTAGCATAATCCTGAATTTGTGGTTTATAAATAGACTATTGAGATTTTGTGACTTTTCGGTTTTTCGATTTTTCAACTTTTGGTGTTTCAATTTTTCAGTATTTTAATTTTTGACATTTTCAATTTTTCCATTCTTCAAATTTTCGATTTCTCCATTTTTTTTATTTTTCGATTTCTCAATTGTCCGATGTTTCAATGATACGATTTCGCAATTTTTCAACTTTTCGATATTTTAATTTTTCAGTTTTTAAAATTCTAGATTTTTCGATTTCTCGAGTTTTCAGTTTTTCTATGCGTATTTCAGTTTTTCAATTTTCGGAATTTATTAAATTTCTGATTTTCCATTTTTTTTTTAAATTTTTCGATTTTTCAGTTTTTCGATGTTCCGATTTTTCAATTATACGATTGTTCAATTGCTCGATTTCTAAATTTTAGATTTTCCAATTTTTATTTTTTTTTATTTTTTCATGTTTGGACTATTTATTATTACTAAAAATAAAAGTAAAAAATAACTACCAAATTTGTGACTAAAAATATGTAAAAATTAATAGAAACTAGAACACATTGCTGCTAAAATATAAAAATAACTGTACTACAATGAAAGTATTAATTCTTAGTTAAACAAAAAAAAATGTCAAAATCGAGTGAAACATGTGAGATGTGTGTAAACAAAAGCATCTAAATAATAATTATTTCCCGCAGAATTTCTGGAGGCTTATAAAGTCGACATTGGCCTGAGCGCGCTCCGGTCTGTGGATCATACAAGTTCTCGGGCGACGATGTATCTAACGAGGCAGTTGAAATACCTGATATGTCACAGCGTAAAAAGTATTTCTCAAAAAACTTTCAAACGTTGATGTCTTTTTAATCGAACAAAACACAATTGGCGAACGCAATAATCCAGAATGGTGCGCAGAAAAATCCTTTAGACTAACCGAACGTTATTTTGGTAAAATTTGCAAAATGAGAGAACAAGTAACACGGCTAATCCTACTGTACTGTGAAAAACATTTTACATTCCTGCAAATCTAGTTCAGCATGTACTCTCCCAAAATCTTTGCATAGAAAATGAAGCAAGGGCAACTGAAGCATTTTGCAGTAACAGCAAACTGACAATAAGACAATGCGGTTTGTACATTTTTAGCGGCATCGCCAGACGGCTCAATACACAAAAACGCTATCGTAGAAATATATAAAATGTCCAATTTAAATAATGCTTAATTCAACGAGATGATAAATTTTGGGAAAATAATATGATAGAGCCATAGAAAAATTTTATTTATATGCCTTACTTCCGAAGAGAGTAGATTCTCGTTATTAAATAAGTCAACCCATTAGACAAATTGTAAAGAAAAAATTGTACAAACAAAATTTTTTATTTGCATTCGCGTCATGTGCAGTTCATATAAATCTTTTGACCTTCTAGTATAAACACACACAGGAATAAATAGTAATAGTGGAATAGGTTTACTGGAGATACCACGTAAAAAAACGTGCCTATAATACTCTACCTCATAGGTGGTGCAGAAAAGAGTATAAAAAAATTAAATTTAAATAAATATGATTGTTCAGGTAAATAAGTGGTTAGTGAAGTGATGAGAATCTAAATCTTGTCAGTTTTGTGTATTGATTAATATATAAAATGACAGATTCATAAAAAATATTTGAATAATTTTTTGAAAGAAAATATTTTAGTAGAATGTATAAAATTATAAAAATTTGCATATTTTTAAATCAAATTATGTCAATAATGAAAGAAGTCGACTTGTAAAAAGTTTCAACAATGTTGGTCAGCTAAGAGTATTTATGAGTTTTATGACCTGAACTGATTACCTGAAAGGGTCGGTCGGCAAGGCTCCCTGCTGTGTAAAACTCAACCATTTATTGAAAGGGATCTTTGTAACTAGGGTTGCCTCGTTTCACTTTATTTTCATTATTCAGTATTTTTTTAAAAAGCAAATATTTTGATAAATATAGAGAGCTCAATGTTGTCTTTGCACTGATATAAAAGTTGAAGCGAAAAATGCTCTCTCCTCGTCTAAAAATGCAATTTCCTTCGAAGAATGAACAATTAATTAAACACTAAACAATCACTTATTTTAAAAAATATTGTGTCTTCCCCAGAGATTTAGACATAATCTATCAATTGAAATGTCGATCTTTTTTTCAAAGTTGAAATTACGCCCGTAAGTCAGTGGACTAATTGATGAGTATAATTAATACGAATATATTATAATGAGACAAAAATCTTGGTCTGCTGATGACTAATAGACTCAAAGTAAGTATTTATTATTTATTTACACATACAACAAACAGTTACAGTTCTAGTGAACACATGCTACCGATACCTTTGTAAAAAAAATAACAAGACAAATTAGCAAACACCTTTGTCTACATAATAAACATTGAGCAATTGTATTGTTTCAATCCTTTTTAATCACGTTCGGGCATACGTTTTCCAAACAAATTGGTACAGTATTGTTGAAATCAGCAGCACCTTACAACATAAGTCCACAAACCACATTCTGTAAAAAATATGAATTTAATAATGTCTTGACTATTTTAGGAGATATTTGTTACATTTTCATGTGCCTTTTCGCCTTAGGAAGAGTGTCGTCTGTTTCTTTAAGGTTATTTCTTCTTACAGAGAGTACGCAATTTCTGAAATAGTCGTCAAGATCGATTCCTTCCCCTTCAAGTTTGTAACGATTTCTCTCCGATTCACTCATTTGTGCACTAATTTCCAATAGCTTCATATTGCTAAAATTCCAGGCTTTATTTGTGTAATATTCGAAAACTTCAGAACCTTTTTGAATGCGTCTCTGAATTTGGAAGAGGCTACAACAAAACGTAAATTTATCAAATCACAGATTTTTAGAAAGATAATATATACATTGGCTTGTAACCTAGCACCATTAACAAAACATCAATGATAAGTGCCGGAACTATTTGAAACAGATAAAAACAAATATTATGGACGAATCTAGACTTTTTTGTAGATCCTCCTGGATACCATACTGCTCCATTAAGTGGTACCTCATTGTAGATAATCTTCTTGCCGAGTTCAAGTATTTCTTCCCAAGTTAAATTGTACTCTGAGGAACTCGTGACGTTAATTACTCGATGTCTAGAAATAAATTGGTACATTTAAAAAGCACGTAATAAATGTGAGAAAATATTAACTTATCAGAGTTGCACAGGAAGTTCCAAACACCCGTCAACATACCGTTGATGGCAACATCTGCTGGTATAAAATCTGCGTAGGAATCGCCTTTCATATACATCGAGCGAATGATGCCTTTACCAGCACCTACAAAAAGACCCATGGGGCCTTGGAGGTTGTTACACCAACCTTTTAAAGGCTCTCTCCAAACGGGACACACTACAATATTACGTCTACAATATAGCGCAAGAAATGCCTAAGAGACAAAGCTTACCAACGGAAGGTCTGACGATGATAGCTGGAATCTTATCCATTCTTTCTGATACAAGTCCTTCAGCTAGTGCTTTGCTGAACGTATAAGTATTGGGACAGTCACCGATAAGGCTGAAATAAAAAATTCAGTCATTTTTTGCTTTCGATGTCCTTCCTCCTTACCCTTCAATCTCCTCATCTTGTCCAAGCTTCACAGCATCAAGAACTTTATGAGGATCCTCTGGAGGTTTGTACGATTTCTCGTAAAGTACCTTCTCTTTCGGAAAAGCGTAGGAAGTGGAAACGTGGACGAAAGTTTTCAATTTAGTGCATTTTTCTGCTAAATTTAAAAGTTCGTTCGTACTTTGTGTATTAAACTTTACAGCAGTTTTGACGGTGTCGTCAAAACGCGTTGAGGCTGCAGAGTGGAAAATGAACTCAACTTCTTCTTGCAACTTCTGGCGGTCTTCAAGACTGATGCCAAGTCCTTCTTGTGTGATATCGCCCGGAATTATTTCACATTTCTTGACTGAGGTGGGCTGTTGTGATTTTAAGAGGTCGAAAAGCTGAAAAAAGTGGACAGCGATGTAGTTTAATAAACTCTTTTACTAAATTTAAATTGCAAATTATTAATATAATATTAATAAATATCGACAGAGCTGACCAAACGATCGACATAGGGTAGACGATAGACGACAGACAGGCGGAAACGCAATTAGTCAACAGTAGCACAAAAGTTGACTGGAAGTGATAAATTTGTAAAATACGACAAATCAACCAAATCAGGAAATTTAAACTTACAAATATACATGTAAATGCATATTTCAAGGAAATATGCACATGTGAAAGATGTTAATGAACTCGACTAACTTGCAGAAAAAACTTTGGGATTCTTGGTGAATTGCATTATCTGATTTTGCGGTGTTTTTTATGTAATAACCGCTACAATAAAAATAGAATGAAATAGAAGAGGATTATTATTAAATCGCAGGTATAGAAATACTTACAAAACTTGACAATAATCTGACTGTCGACAGACAAACGAAAAAAGGAGAACCTATTTTTTCATACTGGAGGACATGGAAAGTCGATAAACCATGAAAGGAGGCAATTTTTCTATTCCAGAATATCCAGAAAGATGGAAAAGAGGACCTACTTTTTCATATTCTAGGAGTTATGAAACAATGAGAAAGCATGGAACTAGCTATTCGGCAAATGGACCTTTTGTCCTTCCTTTTGAAATTACACATTATATTCTGATGTTTGACTGAAATTAATTTTTACTTCCCGAACGTTAGGTAAGGAAATATCAGTATAGGATTCATCTAAGGAATAGCTACTTTCATATTTTAACGCTTCATGACCTCTAGAGTACGAAAAAAGTGATCTCCCGTTTGCGTCTGTCTGTGATCTGTCTGCCTGTCTGTTGTCTCTGTCAATTTTTATTAGACAAATAATTTCCGGAACTACTGGACAGATTATTGCCAAATTTTGTATGTATATTAGGTATATCATGTAGATGGTAAAGCGCTAACCAAATTTGGCTAATCATCTGTAGAGTACTTCTAATTTATGAAACTGCATTAAGTTGTTATCCAAGGCTTCAAAATTTTCACAAAAAATAATCAAAAGTCAAGGAATAGTTTTAAATAAAACGTATAATATGTATTGAAAGTATCAACAATTGTTTATTCTGGAAACTTACCAGACACCTTCAATGTTACACTAAAAATAAGCGTACCGCGTGGCATTGTACATCATTAATATTTCGAGTGTTTTTCCGCTCTCTCGACAAAAAAACTACACTTTATTATTAAAAAAAAAATTGATTAGTCATTTAAGTAATTGGGATATTAGTTAACTTATGGCCCAATTAAGTTGGTTGTACTTATTTTGCACACCGTATAAGGGCCGTAAAAATACTTCTGGATGTTTACCTATTAGAGGACTTTCGTAGTTAATAAGAATATATGTTATACTTTATGAAGAAAACGCCTCCGTCCGTTAATAATAGGATACGATGTTCGAACGAAACAAGCTTAGCAGACGGTACCACACCTTGACCAACCTTTTCATTATTTAAAATATTTAAATAACAGAGTTCAATTCTATTCAACATAAAAGTGTAAAGTTTTGTTAAAGATTTATTTCTAACATAATTATATTATTTCGAAAATAAGTCTTTTTAAAATTTTTGTATGTTCATCTGTAAAACCAAAACAAATTTCTTTTTAAAGGATAGACCTGAAAGATAAGTTTTTTAAGGTGGGTACAACCTACGAGTATTGAATTTTGGGAATTTCCACTCACCAGTAAATTAAAATTCTGCTATTTAATAAACATTTGTTTGCGTTTATATAATAGAAGAAAATGGGATTTTTAACGCTGATCAAGACCTACCAACAATATAAATAAAGCAAAATTTTAAAATATTGAAAATTTTAAAATATTGAAAATTTTATAAATTTAAAGTTTAAAATTTGCACAACTTCTGGGTTAAATTATTCCCAAAGATAAAAAGCTCTCTTTTGTAAAATTTGTAGTGACATGATAAATTTTAATAGCTATTTTTGCAAGAAGACAGGAATACCATTCTTTTCTAAATTATATATATTTTATGGTGAAAGTACTGATTCCTGTGGACGTTATGTTGCAAATTGGTTAATCGGGTGTTTACGTGAAGATGAACTTAGTAAGTGATATTTAATAGCTTGTAAACAATTAAGAAAAAACAAACCATTTAACCATTGTCAGATTTGTCAATGAGTGCTTCATGATTTTTAGATAAAATAGGTGCGGAAAAAAGATTCTCATGTTTTGGATAAAAATTATGCCCTTAAAACTTCACAAAATATTTCCGAAATTTGAAGTGTAATTTTAATTAGCAAAATGTAGAGTAAATGCAGGGGTAGAGAATTTTTTAAATACGAGACGATTGCATATCAATAATTGATTTTGAAAGACGCTTCTCGAAATATAAATAATATTTTGTCCGACAGGCAACATATTTAAGTTTTTAGTGGACAATTTGGAAATGGTTATTTGTGCAATGAGATAAAAAAGTTATTTTTTTTCACATTCAAACGTGAGATTTTGGATCGAGACGAAGTCGAGATCAAAAACACGTTGCACAGAAGATTTTGTAAAAACAAGGTACGAGATAGAGAGACTTTACTTTTCTCTAAATAACTTTTATTTTTATTTCAAGCATATTTCATGTGAAAAAATAATCAATTGTGTTTTGATTCAATGCCACCGAAAACAAAATCAAACAAGCTAATATTTTACAATTTTTTCCACGTGTCAAGTGTTTTGTTCGTTAAAAATATTTGCAGACGATGTGTCTGTATTTTTTGATGTTGAAGAATCAGTTATTTATTAACAGAGTTAGGCACAGCCGAAGTGATGGGGAATCAATCAGACAAATATTAAAATAAATTTGGCGGCCGACTGTGCAGTCTCAACCTCAGTGACGTTTGATGCAATTCAGGGTTTATCTGATCAAGATCATCACGAAAATTGTGATGTTGAACAGTCATTTTTAATTTTTAAAGCATTTAATATCTAGGAAAACTCGTATAAACGAGAAAAACCTAAAAAAAAGTAATTATTATTAATAATTTCCGAAGTTGTAGGCCACGACTGCAATAGCGCTGGCGATCTGACAGCAATGAGCATCATCCGCGATGCCGAAACCTGTTTATTATACATTGTCACTTCATTCACTATTACCAGGAAAAAAATGCCAAAAGGTCTGTACAAAATTTGAGAACAGGTGTTTGGGAAAAGGGTTCTGAATTTAATGAATAGAAAATGTTGGCATACTGTGAACAAAGTCAAGAATTTTTAAAATTCTATATTCATTCATTGGGTGGAGTACCCTTTAGTACTACTGTTTACGATCACGGTCCCCCATTTTTACTTACAATTCGTTAGTGATATTCTTTTTTGACATCTGATAGTGACTAGTTAACCTTTCCTAAAAGGCAAGGATGTAATTTTTAGCATCTTCATATAGGTTAAATTCACTAAGCACATATTTTTATTTTTTAGTACCTAATCTTTGTTATTGATATGACACTTATTTGCGATATCTGCAAAGGTGGGATCACTCCCACTGTACCTGGCATCAAATGTGTTTCCTGCACAGTTTATTTTCACATTAAATGTGTAAACATTACAAAACCCCAGTTAGACACTTTACAATCCTTAGGTGGCACTTTTTCGAAATGCAGTAAGTGTTCTTCCGGTAATAATTCTCCTATAGCCCATCAATGCAACTGCTGTAATATCCTTCCTGGTTTGCTGGAAAGTATTCAAAAGATCAATGAGACGGTGGAAGCAATGAAGCAACAGCTTACATTTGCAAATGTTGCTTCAAATAGCAATTCTGCGCTAAATTTTGAGAATGTTATTCAGCAGATTTTTGAGCGCCAGAAATGCAAAAATAACATTATTTTGTATGGTGTCCCTGAACCCGATCCGCAATGGTCAGAAAGACCAGGATTTCGGAATTTTTTCATTTTTTAGATGTCGGTCTGTCTCCATCTACTGATTTTGCTTCACAGCAGGCAGTTCAAGCTTTTGTTCCAATAAGGTTAGGTCGATGTGATAGTGCCAACATGTCTAAACCTCGACCGATTAAAATAGGACTTCGTGATGAAAAACAAGTGTGTCACTTACTTAATTCAATAAATAAAAAAGGTACCGATATTAGTGCGAACCAGTGTTTTAAATCTGTTCGAGCCTCATCAGACAAAACTGATAAAGTATTACAATAAGTTGCTGGAGGAGGTAGAAATTAGAGCGTATAATGTTGAGTCAAATCTATACATTAACCATTCAAGCAAAAACGACTTTAAACTAACGCTGCCCAACAGTATTAAAATCAGCCTTTATTACCAAAATGTTCGCAGCCTGAAAAATAAACTGGATACCTTTTTTGTTGCTTCTTGTATCAGCGAATATAATTTAATAGGTTTAACAAAAACCTGGCTAACAGATTCGGTGTCTAATTATTTGTACTGCTAACTACAATGTCTTTAGATACCACAGAAAGTTAGTAGCTGTCAATGTAACGCGTGGTGGTGGTGTTTTCTTAGGCGTGGAAGATCATGTTTCCGTTAAACGAATAGACTTAACTTCTTTTTCACATATTTGTCCCTCAGTTGATCTTGTGGGATGTAAACTAACGTTGGGTTACTATGTTCTGTCTGTTTTTGTAATTATATTCCCAGTACTCCATCTATTGATGAGCTAAATACTCTATGTGACTTTTTCGAAGAAAAGTCTTTCCATTTTTAATAGGAGACTTTAATATTCCTAACTTTAACCAAAACATTAATGATAATATTGTTCTCCGTCTAAAATTACACAGGTTTACACTAGTTTTTGGACAAAGCAACCAATTAGTGTTCTTAGACCAATTTTGCACGCTGAACACTATTGTGCAATCCGTTTGTTGCCATCACGTCAAGTTTTTGAGATATTGAATATGACAAGTTTTGATGAAATTTTAGTATATTTAGCAGTTTTCTTACAAAAAATCTTTAAAATTGAAAGTCTA